AGAGATAAAGACATGGGCCAGAATTCACCCAACGGTGAAGTTTTGACCCTGAGAAGTCCTAAAAGTATTTCCCCTTCCCCTTTGGAGCTACCGAGAACTCCTCAGAGGGAATTTGACACTACCAGGAAAAGGGCTTCCTCCCCAAGAAATGTCAGCAGGACAGGTGAACATTCACTTCACAACTTGACAGAAAGAGCACAGGGGCCCCCAGGCCTCAGATGGAAGGTGCAAAAGAAGCATCTGGCAGACAGCACCATCCGAGAGGAAGTGGTTGAGGTTTTAACTTTATTTTTCTTTTATTTTGCTTACAAATTATTTGGTAATACCTACTAGTTAACAACTACAGTAGGGAGCATGGCTTTTTTAAAACAGTGAAGTAAATTTTCTGTAGTTACCTTTACAAATGAAGGTCTTAAAAGGATAGTGTGTTGTAGAATAGAAAATAGATGGAACTGTAATTTTCCTGAAAGTGTGCTCTTAGGTGCCCATGACGAAAGTAACCCAGGGAGGGACTAGGCTGCATACATCGAAGGATAGGACCACCTCTTCTCCCTCCCCCCCTTAAGGCAAGGTCTTTGTAGCCTTGTCTGATCTAAAATGCACAGAGATCTACCTGCCTCTGCCTGGGATTAAAGGTGTTACCATCATACCCTCAGCCTTTCAGGCTGACCTTTTTAATATTCCTTTTAGTAAATATTTCTTTTTATGTTGACTTAATAACTTTGGTTTATTAAAAACAATATAACAAATTATAATTGTTAATGTATTAACAAGTCTTTATTCCTAGGAAGTTCTAGGTTTGACAGGTATCAGGATAGGATTGCATTTTTTTTTTCATTGGGAGGGATTGGTTCAAGACAAGTTTTTTTCTGTGTAGCCCTGGCTGGCTGTCATGGAACTCAGTCTGTAGACCAGGCTGGCCTCAAACTCACAGAGATTCTCCTTCTTCTGCCTCCCAAGTGCTGAGATTAGAGGCATGTACCACCAACACCCCACTAGGATTGTTTTTGTTTTTTTTTGGGGGGGGGTGGGGGGTTAGCCAGCAGCATGCATGTTCGTCGGTTTTAATTTAAATAAATTTATAGTTACTATTCCATCAAGCTGGCTGTCATGGTGACTATCTTTAATCACAGCACTTGGGAGGCAGAGATAGGTGGATCTCTGAATTTGAGACTGTCCTGGTCTGAACAGCCAGGGCTACAAAAAAACCTCTTTTAGTCACAGTAGCCACATTTCACATACTTGATAGGAACATGTGGCTAGCTTGTTAGTAACTGTCACCAGTATCTTACTCTGGCTTCCTCACTTTTGGGTCTCCCTTACAAGAATTCAGGTGAGACACAGATGTTGAAGGTAGATATTTTATTATGGTATGCTGGACCAGTGTGCCTCTCTACATTTTAGGGAGGTTTTATACTTGTTTGGGGGGAGGGGGTGGCAGGAGGCTATTTTCCTATCCAAGTTATTGACAGATCCATTTAGGGTGAATTCTTATGGATTACTAGGTCCTTTTTATGGTATTATTTCTTTTAATTTTTGTGTGCATTGATGTTTTGGCTGCATGTGTGTCTGTGTGAGGGTTTTGGATCCCCTGGAACTGGAGTTAGAGAATTGTGAGCTGCCATGTGGGTGCTGGGAATTGAACCCAGGTCCTCTGAAAGAGCATTCAGTGCTCTTAACCACTGAGCCATCTCTCCAGCCCCTTGCTCTTTTATCAGGAATTTTCTGGCTAGGCTCTACATCCAATCATAAGGTTGGATAGATGGCATTTTGGGCCAGATACATGACATGATTTGGAGTTTAGCCCAATGATGGAGTGCTTACTTAGGCCCTAGACCTCTGTTGGGGCGTGGGGGTGTGTGACTGAAGGGTTTGTGTTTGCACAGTCAGTTTCTTGACTTGAACATCATTTTTGTCCACCCTCCCACCTGGCCCTTTTCTCCAGGCCCTGGGGGTATTTTTCCTTTAGGGCCCAAAGCCGATGCCTTCTTCCATTGCCCCTACAGCTATCACCAGTTTAGACTCAGCCCTAGATTAGTTCAGGCCCACAAGGAAGGCATACCTAGTGTTTACTTTTTACTGCATGCAAAAGATATCACATCTCACGGCTGTGGTGTGTGTGTGTATTCCCATTTGTTCTTAGATGTCAGTAAGAGCATCTGTGCCACTGACAGTTGTTCCTTCCCCTGGAAAGCATGTCCAGCTTCAGGGGTCAGCCAGACAGCTCTGTCTTATGCAGACAGAAATCAGAGAGGTTCCTCTGAAGATGGGATTATATACCCTGAGGTTTACACATCCTCTTAGTTGCACTAGGAACTAGAAGGTAGTCTGTAGGCCAGATGAGGCAAATAGAAGTTGTATTGTAGAATTCCTGATATATGGCAGTGAAATAAGAAGACAGCTTGTATGTGGGGACAATTTAGAAGTTCTCTAGGCACAGCAGCTCAGGCTGGCCTGAAATCTTGGTTTTTCAAGACAGGGTTTCTCTGTAGCTTTGGAGGCTGTCTTGGAACTCACTGTTGTAACCAGGCTGACCTCGAACTCACAGAGATCCCCCTGCCTCTGCCTCCCGAGTGCTGGGATTAAAGGCCTGTGTCACCATTGCCTGGCTGAAAAAGAAACTTTTCTTGAGGCAAAGACCTCTTTATCCCAGGGGTACCATTCACGAAAGAAACCCTGACTCTTAACTTCATCAGGAGGTACCCTTCCTAAGGGCAGATCCAAGTGCTGTATCTGAAGTCCAAACCTCTCCACCTCCCTTCTTACCAGCTCTTCCCAAGAGAGAGCTATTCTATGTTCTCCCAGTTCTTTCTACATTCTGGCTGCAAGGAATGGCAGGGCACCTCTGATCCAGTGTCATTGTCCGAGGAGGCTGTCTGGGAAGGAAAGTGTCAGACTTTTCTTCCTGAGTGCACAGTGACTGGCAGTGTTATCGGATTTGTGTTTTGTTTTTAGCAGAGTCTTGCTGTGTAGTGAGGCGACTTCAAACCCTGGAGTGCTGGAATCCCAGCTGTGTGACACAAGGCTGCTATGTGGCTTGTTTGTTCTGTATGTAAGACAGCAGCTGCATAGACTGTTTGCTGGTGGGATCACTAAAGAGGAATGTTTACTGTAGAAGTTACTGTCCTAGGGGTTTAGTGAGAGGACCTGAAGTAAACTCAGGGACAAACTGAAAGTAGCAAAGGTCTATATTGGAAGCAGAACATCAGGCTTGTCAGAATGGCCTTTAGTCCCAGCAGAGGCAGGTGGATCTCTGAGTTTGTAGTGAGTTCCAGGACAGCCAGGGCTATATAGTGAGACCCTGTGGTTGGGGATGGGGGGGAACATCTGTGGTAACTGGATCAGTGGAAACTAGTGTTGTCTGAGTAACACTAACTAGTTCCTTTTTCCTGTGACATGTAGATTTGCTGTGAGATATGAAGGGTATTCTGAACTCAGAACTCTTGAGGGTTTGTTACCTTTTGTGAGACAGGTCTTACTGTTTGGCCCAGACAGGCCAAAAATCATTGTCTCCCAGCTTCCTGAGTGCTGGGGTCACAAGAATGAGCTGCCACACTAGGCTGGAACTCATTCATTGAAGATATTAAATGTGACAGAAGAGCTTGGCCACTGTAACAGTCTAAGGGAAGTTTAGATGGAGGCCAGATGGTGCAAAAGGGCTGACTCTCCCTTCCATAGCCTGTTTGAATTATGTTCAAAAATGAAAATGAAGTCAGGTGTTAGAATTCAGTTTTAGTCAAATATTTCATATTTAGTTTATTTCATATTTAGTTCATTTTAAGGTTAAATATATGCTGGGCAGTGGTAGCACATGCCTTTAATCCCAGCACTCAGGAGGCAGAGGTAAATGGATCTGTGAGTTTGAGCACAGGCTAGGCAACACAGAGAAACCCTGTCTCTCCTTAAAGCTTGTTTTAAATTGTTCAAGAATAGTTAATATTTGCTGTATCTGTCTGCCGTATAAAGTATCTTACATACACTGGTTCACTTAATGAGATGAGACAGTGCTGATGCTGACCACTACAGTTGTTGAAATTGCCTGTCACCTCCAGCACAGTCTGTCCTGGTGGCAGCACTCGGCCACCGCTAGTTGCTCTTCTCCTTGCACTGCCTTCAGTCGTTTCCCAGGGCAGCTCGCTCGCTCTGCTCCCGCTTTCCCCGTCACTCTCGTTTTTTGGTCTCTTCTTATTCTTACTAGTCTATTAATGCTAAAGTACTCTTGAGGTAAGTAAGTATCATTGCCTGTTTAATTTTTAAGGCTTTAAGAACTCCAAAGAGCTTTGCCTTCCAAATTTCAGACACTCACTTTATTTTAAATTAAGTGTATTTGTTTGTGAGCACCTATACATGTGTGCAGGTGCCTGTGGAAGCCAGAGGCATCCGATGCTAGGAACCGAACTCTGATCCTCTGGAAGAACAGTACAAGCTCATCCATCACCCCTGAACCAACTCAATTCCCACCCTCCCATGTGTTTGTCTAGCATGGACCTTGATCTGTAGGCTTCGAGATCCAGCAATCTCCCTAGCATGTCTAAATATGCTGCAGGGTGAGATCAGAAATTTCTTTTTAGTAGAATATTATCATTTAAAGGTATGTATGTATTTTATGTATATGAGTGCTTTGTCTACATGTTGGGAATTGAACTTCCAACCTCTAGAAGAGCAGCCAGTATTCTTAATTGCTAAGCCACTCTCTCCAACCCCCAACTAGTATCATTGTATTTGAGATATATATAATAAGCATTGATGTTAGTTCTGGGTTACTGTATTGTATGTCCTGTCTTTTTTGGTTTCTTTGTTCCTAAACTCACTGTAGACCAGGCTGGTTTCCAACTCAAGAGACCCACCTGCCTCTGCCTCCCGAGTGCTGGGAATAGAGGTGTGGATTGCACAGCTTGTTTTAGTTGCTCCCCCTCCCTCCTTTTAGACCTTTGGAGTTAATGTGCATTTAGGTGACAGAAGACAAATCATTTCTTTGAATGTTAAAAACTCTGTTTTAGGTGTCATCTTTATCAGAAAGTGAGGAGTCTCAGGACTCATCTGACAGCATAGGCTCCTCACAGAAGGCTCACGGGATCCTGGCCCGGCGCCCATCTTACAGGTTGGTACTTTGTTTCGTTACCAAATGTGTTGAGATTGTGAAAATCTTTAGCATGCAAGCATGGTTAGGCAAGGTCGCAGATGTTATGAGATGTAGGTTGGAAGCAGCTTAAGATTTAAAATGGTTTGTTGTTTTTGATACAGGCCTTTTCTATGTAGACCAGACTGTCCTCAAACTCACAGAGATTCCCCTTCCCTCCCTAGTGCTGGGATTAAAAGTACATGTCACCGGGTCCTGCTGGTAGGTATAACTCATAGCCATAAAAAAGCAGGACAGCCAAGTGCAAGATTCAGCTCTCACTGAAATAGCTCTACACTGTGTATACCTCTGCGCTCCTCTGCACACCCCACTCCCGTATGTGCTTACCAGAAGTCTCTACTTAGCTTTTCCTGACTGCCCTGAGACAGTTTGATATTTGTTCTGTGGCTCCTTTAGTACTTGTTAGCATGTATATATGTGCCTTTAGAGTCGTTTTATGTTCATGGTATTTGCCTGTGTGTGTTTGTGTGTAGCATGTGGGTTCCGGAGGCTAGAAGAGGGTGTTAGATTCCCTGGAACTGGAGTTAGAAGTGGTTGTGAGCTGCCATATGGGTGCTGGGAACTGAACCTGAGTCTTCTGCTAGAACAGTAACCACTGAGCCATCTTTCTAGTCCATAGAATTTGAAGGGGACGGACATATTTTTCTGTGATGTCAGGTCCTAGCAGAGTTCATCCTTTAGTAGATGCCAAATAATTGCTTGCTCAGTGAATGGGCATCTGTAAGTAGTACAACCAATTAACAGGCCTTTGGAATTGTCTGAATTTCATATGGATAGGAGTAGAGGTATATTTGGAGTGAGTGAATTGGTGACAATTCCATGGTAGAATTGACCAAAGCTAGAGTCTATGTGGTAGGAGGAACCAGAGACAGAATGATGAAGGTGTAAATAGTCTAGTAAGATTATAGGTGGTGTGAGAGAAGTATGTATAGGGTCAGTCCATCTGAAGAATAAATAGGGAAGAATTACGAGGTGTGAATCTAGGCAGCACTAACTTGATCTTCATTAGAATGGGGCAGGCAGAGTTTACAAGGCAGCAGAAGAAATCTGTCAGCTAAGAACAGCATAATCCAGGAGAAAGAGGAGGAAGGAAAGCAGGTCTGCCCGTTCTAGGGCCTGGGAAGTGAAGGTGTTGGAGGAAGAGAGTCTATCCAAAACGTGATCAGGAATTAGGTACTTGTAGTCTCTTGAGGAATTTGGACTCCATTGAATCAACAGTTAATGGACAGACATGTTAACTTTGTACAGTTTTAAAAGATTTGTTTTTATTATTAATTATGTGTATGTGGTAGGGTATGTGCACATGGGTGCTGAAAACTAACTCAGTCCTCTGTAAAAGTGCTCTTAACCACTAAGCCATCTCTCCAGCTGCAGTAACTGGCTTTGTTTTGCTTTGATTTTTTTTTTTTTTTTTTTTTTTTTTTTTTGGTTTTTTGAGATAGTTTCTGTGTAGCTCTGGTTATCCTGGAGCTGGCCTCAGACTCCCGAGTATATTCTCTTTTTGACAGGAGTTTATAGTCTTCCTAACATAACAGTGATAACCCTGGAGAGCTCATGGGAGTGCAGTCTCTCTGCCTTTTGATGGTAGTAGATTGGCTCTTATTTCTGAGTACAATGGGCTGCTCTAACCCTGACTGTAGGATTCAAAGTTGAAAAGGCCAAGTTGGTCTTTTTGAGTGAAGGACACTTCAGAACAGAGCCTGTCCTGCAGAGAAAGGACAGCTGTACATGGGGTCTTGCACCTAGAGAGAGGGTGCTCTGTGTTTTTCTTCAGTGTAGCTAACCTAGAGTACATAGTAATGATAAATTCTAAATGGAGGGACTCCTTAATCCTTTAAATTTTTTGTTTTAAAGACAGGGTTCCTCTTCTCTGTGTAACAGCCCTAGCTGTCTTGGAACTTGCTTTGTAGACCAGGCTGACCTTGAACTCACAGGGATCCACCTGAGTGCTGGGATCAAAGTTGTGCGCCACCACCTCTTGACTTTTCTTTTATGTGCATTGAAGTTCTGCCTGCATGTATGTCTGTGTGAAGGTGTCAGATCCCCTGGAATTAGAGTTACAGACAGTTGTGAGCTGCCATGTGGGTACTGAGAATTGAAAAGATCCCCCAGGAAGAGAGTCAGTGCTCTTAATCGCTGAGTCATCACTTCAGGCCCCCTAGGACTTAATTAACACTATGGTTTGGGGCTCTAGTAGAGAGAGAGAGAGAGTTGTGCTATCATTTAGTTTTCTGAGACAGGATCTTACTGTGATTCTCTGGCTAGCCTGGAAGTCATAGATCTGCCTCCTCCACCTCCGAGATTAAATAAATTTAAAAAAAAAAAATTCAACAGTTACTTATTGAGGCCATCCTGGTGTACAGAATGAATTCCAGAACAGCTGGGGTACAGAGTTCTCATAAGGAACACGTCACTCTTCTAGCCAGTCCTCCATCTGGATGAGTAAAGGAGCGACATGATTTCCTTGGTTTTGGGGGGACAAATGGTGGCTTCTGTCCTTGTATGTAGATCTACGATAAGACTGGCTTAATAGGGTTTGTGAGTCAGACTATCTGCTTTTGCTCCAGGGCCCTGCCTCTTGATTCCCACTTCTCTCTCAAAGCAGGCTTGTCCTTGCAGGGTCAGCTACAGCAAACTGCTTCAGGAACAATGACACACAAATCTTTCCCTGTTGGGGCTTTAAATTCTGCTTTGTTAGTTACCTCTGTGCACACGGTTTATTGCCATGTTGAACTAAGCTGACTGAGGTGAGTGCTGGAGAATTCAGAGATCTGTCCCATCCAGAAAGCTGCACCTTAGATTAAACTCTAGAATTCCAGAGTCAAGGTCACTTGAGGATTCACAGAAAGGAGTTTGTGGGATTTAAAGGTGTTCTTAGCGACAGCTTTTAGAAAGACTACACTGTGGAGACTCAATCTGTCTCAGCAGCTAGCTGAATTTAAAGACGGAGTGATTTGATAAAACACACTGAGCCGGTTAGGACTGGCTTCTGCTTTTGGTTAATCTCTTTTCTGTCTTTGACTGTGTGGGCCCTGCCCATTTCAAACTTCTAATCCTCCTGTCTCAGCCTACCAAACAGACTCAAGGCATGCACCACCACACCTGGTTAGATGATCTTGCTTTTAATCTGAACTGGTGTGGTTGTATGTGTAAGGCCAGCACTTGGGAGGCTGGGTTGGGTGGGAAAGTGTCTTTGTAGGGCACAGTCATTAAACAGACTTCTATTTTTTTTTTTTTTTTTTTTTTTTTTAACAGAAAAATTTTGAAAGACCTCTCTTCTGAAGATATACGGAGCAGAAAAGGAGACGGAGAAAATCCTGGCATTTCTGCTGTCACTTCTATGTCTGTTCCAACTCCCATCTATCAGACCAGCAGCGGACAGTACAGTATGTATAGCTGTTCCCATATGGTAGACATGCAGAACTGACGCCTATAGAAAGACTGCTCTACTTGAAGGGGAAGGGGTTGGCTATTAACATAGGTGTTTTTCTGCATTGTCTCACTTCCTTACAAGTGTAAGATAGGAGTTGCCCGTGGGTGAAGAACAGACTTAGAGAGGTAAATAGGTTACCCCTGGTGTGGTGGCATACAGAAGTTCAAGTCCAGCCACGGCTCCATAGTGAATCTCCTGCCCTGCCCCCTGAAAAAAATTAGATACTGTCTCTAATGTCACAAAGCTTGAAAGTTGTATTTATCTGGATCTAGAGGTAGGATCTCCCCTCTCCCCAAACTAATAAGTTCAGGTGCTCTCTGGGCCACTTGTGCCTGTGACCTTAATGTTGATGGGAATTAATATTTAGTTTACTTTACTTCTGTAATAAAAAGATTAAACATGAAAATTGTATTTTTAAGGAAGAAAAAGAACTGAGACTTGTGATGTGACAGTAGCATGTACCATGAGCGATGCTGGGCTGTCAGTGTAGAGAGCCAAGTTACTGGCTGTGTTGTGAATAAGTACTAACCAGTCTGGAACTTGTACTGTGCTCACACTGTTTCTGCCTAATAATTTAGGAAATGAGTTTCATTATTTGTTAAAATGACACTTAACAAAGATAACAGGTATAATGAACTCAATACCATTGTTTTTGAGACAGAGTTTCCGTGTGGCTCTGGCTGGCCTGGAACTCATATCTGCCTCCCTCTGCCTCTGAGATTAAAGTTGTATACTACCACACCCAGTTGGTTCTAAGCGTACATATATGTATATTTTCAGTCTTTTATGATAATGGACTTGTGCTTTTTCTCCATATCTTCCTTTTCAATTGTTGGCACACCTTTAGTTTATCTTAGTGGTGGGAGTCAGGAAGGGATTCCAGCTCCTCCCCTGTAGCACCTGCTCAGCTCAGAAGTGATGCTATTTATGTATAAGCTTTTCACCATAATTTTCCTGGCCAGTCTATCACTTTGGGAGATTTGATAAATGTTGATGTGCAAGACCACTTGAAAGTCTACTTGGCAGTTGAAGTATAGCTCAGCAGTGAAGTGGCTTGACCACCTCTCAGCACTATACCTTTGGAATCCCTGCAGAGAGCCAGCGTCCAGTCCATCTGTTGCCTGGCTCCTTTTATACCTTAATTTTCTTTTCCATGCTTAGACAAAGTTTTATTTAAAATATCAATTAAAATGAGCATGGTGGCCCACACCTGTAATCCCAAACCTGGGAGGCAGAGGCAGGAGGTTCAGGAGTTCAAGATCATTATTGGTTTTGTAGCAGGTTCAAGCCAGCCTCAACTAAATGAGGGCATCTACAATCATATCGGACTCTAAGAGAATGAAATTATCAAATAAGACTCTTGCTCCAGTCCCTTTTATACCTAACATAATACCCCAGGCCTGTACTCATTTTCTGGTCACACACACTTACTTTCTGTACCTCCAGCCCACACAATTGTTATTGTTCAGGGTCTTTGAGATTGTTATTCTGTCCCATCGTCCTCCTCCCTCCACCCCCCCCCCCATGCAGATAGTAATGTGGCTAACCTCATTCCTCTGTTTTAAGTGTCACTTAAAGAAACAACTCTTTTTTTGTTGTTTTGTTTTTTTTAAGGCTGATTATGTGTGTTATGTGTGTCTTTCTGTGTGCATAGGTATGTGCACACAAAGGGGCCAGAAAAGGTCTACTCTCCTTAGCTCCACCTCTTCCTTTGAGCCAGGGTCTCTCCTAAACTTGGCACAGTGACAAACTCTAGCAATCCTCCTGTTTTCCACACTTCAGAACTAGAGTAGAGGTGTACATAGGACACCTGACTTACTGCATAAGTTAGGCTCTTGAACTTGGATGTTCCTGACTGCAGCCAGCACACTTAACCAGTGAGCCATTTCTCCAGCCTTGGAACAAGTCTTTAAGACTGTTTCTTCACCCCTCTAGAGGTTTTTTTTAAAGACTTATTGTGTATAGTGTTCTGCCTGTATTATACCTGCACACCAGCAGAGGGCACCAGATCTTATTATACATGGTTGTGAACCACCATGTGTTTGCCAGGAATTGAACTCAGAACCTCTGGAAGAGCAGCCAGAGCTCAACCTCTGAGCCATCTCTCCAGCCCCCCCCCCCCCCAGAGTTCTTTGGACATGTAAGAAACGGCAGAGGTTGACACTGGCTTAACTAAAGCTGGGTGCACTGCATTATCATACACTTGTTTCACTGGCATCTCCCAGCTACACAGACTTTTAAAGGCATCAGAAAAGAAAAGGGAAAAACTACTTAGAAGATTATGCAAATATTTCAAGTGGTAAGTGTAAACTAGTGTTTAGGGCAGTCCAGTCCAGTAGAACTTTCATATATATGATGACAATGTTTACAGTATTCAGGACAGTAACCATCAAGCCAAATGAAGTTTTTTGGGACTTGAAATAGGTAGGATTGGTGAGAATAAGGAACTGAGTCCTTTAATTTTATATGATGGCTACTATATTGAACAGTAAAGCTTTAGAATAAACAGGACAGGTAAGTACACATGGTAAACTAGAACAGGGCAGTTTGCAAACATTCGTGCTTATGTCTGATAGCCAAACACACTCATCTGCAGCTATGAGTATTTCATACACACATTTGATGTATATTACTATCAGTCCATTATGAGGAAGCTAGAAAGAGTGTACACCAGAGATAGTGGGTACTACAAGATCTAGAGAGCAGTCACCTCCACCCTGCAAGTAAATAAATTAGGACAGGAAATGAGAGTTTCTGTTATTTATTTTTGAGACAGGATATCACATGTATGCCTAGAACTGACTACCTAGACCAAGTTTTGAACTCAGATCCATGTGCTTCTGCCTCCCAAGTGCAGGGATTAAAGATGTGTGCTACCTACCTGGCAATACAATTTTGTTTTCAATTTTTAGTGTGTGTACAGGATGTATGAAGACATCAGATGAACTCAGGTCCTCAGGCAAGCATCTTTACTAACTAAGCCATTTCCCTAACCCCTAAAACACAATATTCTTAATTCTCCATTGTTTGATACTTGTGCTAGCCTATTGTGGTCGTGAACTCATGATCATACAGGTGTGTCATGTCACCATGCCCAGGTTCAGAGAAAACCCTAAGATGTTTGTGTCTTTGCTTCTACCCCCAAGTGGGGAAAAAAACATTAGCCATTAATTAGAACAAGCATGGTGACATACATGCCTTCTTGCTATCTCTCTGAACACAGCCTAGGCTACATGAGATAACTATCTCAGAAAGAAAGGGAGGGAAGAAAAAGAAGGAAGAAATCCTTAGCCATTAGATTAGATCTCTTTATGCCCCTGAAATTTCTGTGGCAAATTAACATGAAATATCCAGATTTCTCTATGTAGCCCCAGCTGTCCTGGAACTCACTGTGTAGACCAGGCTGGCCTCAAACTCACAGAGATCTACCTGCCTCTGCCTCCCCAGTGTGGGGATTAAAGGAGAGTGCCATCACACCCACCTTCAGACCTGTTTAAATGTTTGTTTTTCCACAGAGACAGCCCACCTGAACAAGGGGGAGCTCATGGACCCCCAGACTTATAGCTGAGAAGCCAGCATTGGACCGACTCAGACCCCCTGAACATGGGTCTTAGCTAGAAGGCCTGGGCAGTCTAAGGGGCCACTGATAGTGGAACCAGGATGTATCCCTGGTGCACAAAAGGACTTTGGGAGCACATTCCCCATGGAGGGACACTCCCTTAACCTAGAAGGAGAAGGGAGGGCCTAACCCCTACTCCAAATAACTTGACAGATTTTATTGACCCCTCCTGGAAGGCATCACCCTCCCTGTGGAGGAGAATGGGACTGGAGGGTGGTCGGGGGCATGGGAGGGAAGGAGGGAGGGAGAGAGAGGAAACTGGGATCGATGTGTAAAGTAAGAACAATAAACAATAATAATAATAATAATAAATGTTTGCTTTTTATGACCTTCTTTGAATTAGTCTGTCGTAGCCTTATAACTGTTTTCCTCTTTGGTTATAGTTGCCATTGCCCCCAACGGAGCCTTACAGTTGGCCAGTCCAGGTACAGATGGAGTCCAGGGACTGCAGACATTAACCATGACAAATTCAGGCAATACTCAACAGGGTACAATCCTCCAGTATGCGCAGACTTCAGACGGACAACAGATCCTCGTCCCAAGTAACCAGGTGGTTGTGCAGAGTAAGTGTACTCCTTACCTACAGATGTGTCCAAGTCCTCTCCAGGGCACTTCACCAATAACTCACTTTTTTGGCTCTACAGCTGCATCTGGAGATATGCAGACCTATCAGATCCGCACCACACCATCGGCCACTTCACTGCCACAGACTGTGGTGATGACTTCTCCTGTGACTCTTACGTCTCAGACAACAAAGACAGATGACCCCCAACTGAAAAGGGAAATACGGCTGATGAAGAACAGGTAGGTAGTAGATCAGTTTCCAGAGTGGGTAAGTTCTGCACGTCTCAAAACACAGTCACCTATTAACCTAACTAGACAGTTAGAAAGGAGGTTTGGGTCAGCTCTACTTTTACTGTGTGGCAGGTTATATCTAGTTCATTCCCAGTGAGTTCATTTGTAAGTCTCTGTATTAAATAGCCTATCACCTAGACGACTTCTGTGCTGTTTTTTTAACACTTCATCCTTTGAAATAGCATTGTTTAGTATAGTAGCTGGGGAGATGGTTTGGTGATTAAGAGCACTGGCTGCTCTTCCAGAGGACCCAGATTCAATTCCCAGCAACCACACTGCAGCTTACAACTCCTTTAATCCCAGCACTCAGGAGGCAGTGGTGGGTAGATCTCTGAATTCGAGGCCAGCCAGGGATACACAGAGAAACCCTGTCTCGGAAAACAAAACAAAATAAAATTAATGTTGCAAAGCTTTTCAAACAGCATTTTCTTGCCTAGAAATTCTGTGGTATGGTTCCAGAACTGTAGTGTAGCAAACGCCACAGTAAGTAAGCAAGCCATGCTAGGTACAACAGTTGTGTGTGTACTGAACTTGAGCCATCCACGGCCCTGAAGAGACAAGATACACTGTAATTTGTATAGCAGTGCCAGCCAGCGTCACCTGAGCTGGCTACTCTCATGGACCTGCCCCACGTACTCCTCTCCCTTCTCTCTTACCCTTCCAACTGAAGAGTAGGGCCTTGCTCTAGAGTAAACCCTGGATTATGGAAACCTTTAGGCTGTTCTGATTGGTCAGAACAAAACCTTGCCATGGCAGCTATGAGGCTGCTTCATCTTCTAGCTTGACAAAGCTGGATTTGTACCTTTTCACTTAAACACTGGGATTATGTAATAAAGATCAGAGCTTCAAGAAGAGAGCCATTTGGAACAGTCAGAAAGAACATGGTCTACATTTCTCAGAACTTACCGTCCCAGGTGGGCAGTTCGTGACTCCAGAAAACAGTTAAAACGGTAACATCAAGGGCTGAAGAGATGGCTCAGAGGTTAAGAGCAGTCAGTGGCTGCGCTTCCAGAGGTCCTGAGTTCAATTCCCAGTAACTACATGGTGGGTCACAACAGTCTGTTATGAGATCTGCTGCCCTCTTCTGGTCTGCAGGCATACATGCAGATGGAACACTATATACATAGTAAATAAATCTTTTTTTAAAATGGTGACATCAAGATCACAGATCAGGATGGTTCAGCAGGTACAGGCTCTCGTCTGGCAATCCTTGGGACCCACATAAAGATGAAAGGAAAGAGACAGAGTCACACAGTTGTCCTTTGACCTCTGTGCATGTGAGCACTGTGGCACATGTGTCCCCTTGTATATATAAAATTAAAACTTTTTTGTTTTGGTTTTTCGAGACAGAGTTTCTCCTCTGTGTAGCTTTGGAGTCTTTCCTGTAACTCATTCTATAGCTCAGGCTGGCCTCAAACTCTCAGAGATCTGCCTTCCTCTGCCTCCCAAGTGCTGGGATTAAAAGCATACACCACCACGGCCTGGCTAAAGTTAAAAATTTTTACAAATTGTTTTAACTCAACACAGCATGAAACATTTACTCCCCCATTAAATATATATATTTTCCATTTGTCTGCATAACTTAAACCAGGCTGGCCTGGAACTGGCTATGTAACCAACAGTGACTTTGATTGTTACCTTGTTCCCACTTCCTGAGTACTAGGACTATCAGGCTCCACCAAGTGGAGCCTTGTGTGGACTGAGGATCAGGCCCAGGGCTTTTGTACATGCCAGACAAGCACTCCATCAGTTGAGCATACCACTACCCCTAAATACATTTTAGACATATTACTGTATTCACTTTAATATACCAGGCATGAAAACTTGCTTCTTGAGAAAATGTGTATATAATGGGTAACTTTATGTACCAAGAAACTAGAAGTGACAACAAAAAAGTCCCAAATGGAGTGGATTGTAAAGACTAAAATGTGGCAGGGTTTCTTCAAACACACACACACAGACCAGAAGGTAAAGTTTTTAAAGCAATAAAATTAGCATAAAGAATCATGTAGAAACACAAGTTTTAATTGAAAATGAATAACATTTCTTTATTAAAAGGTGTCTGGATTAGTTTGGTAAAAAGGCAGAGACTACTGTTTTGGAGGTTCCAATAGATGAGATAAGATAAATGAAGTACATTATGTCAATAGAAGAAAACGGTTAAGATCTTGTACCTACGAACCCCAAGAAAAGGGTCTTACAGAGTTACAAAAATGCTTGTCTCACGAGTGCAGAGCCCTTGTTTGATCTCTAGTGCCACATAAAAGTAGGTGTGCACTGGCAGGAGGTGAATAAGATGTGAGAAGTTCATGTGAGGTTTGAGGTCAGCCTAGGTTACGTGAGACCCTGTCTCAAACACAACATAGTCAAAGAGGGGGAGTTATTTTCTCACAAGATAACTAGCTACATAGGGTTTGTAGAGATTGATGTAATGTATAAGCTGCCCCTTTACAATGAGTGGATGAACCTATAGGAAAGAATCTAAAAATATGAGGAGGTTAGGAATGAACTAGACCATGAACTTATTCCCTAGACATGCTGCTGTACGTTAGCCATAAGTCTTTGTTTTGATTTTTGAGCCAGGTTTCTCTGTGTGGCTCTGACTGTCCTGAAACTTAGTTTGTAGACCATGCTGGCCTTGAACTCAGATCCACCTGTTTGTGCCTCCTGATGACTGGGATTAAAGATGTGTTTTTACCTCTTCCAACCGAAATTCACTTCTTATCTAGGTTTGATATGCTAAAGAGACGGGACAGTCTTGGAGCTGCCTGTGCTTTTCATGAGGTCACTATATTATTCAAAGCTAAAAATGTCACTTAAAATTAGTTCCTTTGCACAGTTCCTCAGACCCATGGATGAAAGCACTTGATACAGCTCCACCAGATTCCAAACACTGAACTCTTAACAAATAGATTGGCGGGGGGGGGGGGGGTATCCTGTGTCCAGAAGGCCAGCCCTTGGCAGGTTTAGTGTCAGTCTCTACTGTGAGGCCAGCCTGAGGCACATAAGACTGTTAACTTGTCCCACTCTGCAGAACAAGAAAAAGTTTAGGCCGGCATGCTAGCACATGCCTGTGGTCTTTGAAGCCAGGTGGCAGTATATAGCTTAACTCTGACCCAGGCTGGGGTTGGGGGGGGGGGGCGGCACCTTTTTATGTATAAGGTAAAATTCAAGACTTTAATATAAAAATACATAATCTTATAATGTAGAACATAGGAAAGCAGTTCCAAAACAAGACAACATTCGGGGAAATTAATTCTTAATGTGACTTCATTAAAATAAGAACCGTTGAGCTGGTCATTGTGACACATTTTAATCTCAGGATTTGAGAGGCAAAGACAAGATTGGGCGTTCAAGGTCATCCTTTGGCTCTATAACATCCACAAAACCGGTGGTGGGGAGTTGGCTGGAAAAATAGGTTGGTGGTTTAGAGCATTGGCTACTCTTCTAGAGGGCTGGGTTTGATTCCCAGCATCCACATGGCAGCTCATAATCTTCTGTCACTCCAGTGCACAGGCATCCAGTGGCCTTCTAGCCTCTACATGCACCAAGTACACAGATGATGCACAATACATGCAGGTGGAGTACCCATACACACACAATACTTCCTAATTTTTTACTAATTTTGAGACGGGGTCCTGCTGTTTAGTTCTGGCTGTCCTGCAACTCAGATTTGCCACTGTGCCCAGCAAATAAAAATAATTTAAAAGATTAATGGACATACTATAAAAATACCAAATCAAATTAGGGAAAATGAGATAAGGGGTTGGTGTGTTGTACAGTGGACAGAGGAATCTTAAGAAATTATAGTAAGGATGACCTCGCTGAGTGCAAGCAAGGGGACAGGTAGGTGAACAGAGCAGCTCTAGAGGCTGCATGCCAGGAGAGTCAGGTGCATCTCATGACACTCCTGAAGGTGATGCTTCCTAAGTAGAGGTCAGGGCTGCTGGCTCGCTCCCTCCTGTGAGGAGGGACACATTCCCAACACATTACACCTACTGAGTCTGTGTGACAGAATAATTATTACCCTGAGTGCTTGCAATTTATATAAAGAGAACTGTAGTAGATACAGCAGCAGACTCAATCTGTATAGATTTACTTCCATAAATAGAGAACTAAAGAAGAGGAATCAGGGAATCTAAACAAGAAATCACACCACACTTTGTGTGTGCATCTAGGAAGTCTAAGCTGAGCCGTCGAGCCTGAGGATAGTGAAGCAAGAGTTTCAGTGCATTCCTGGCACTCCTGGTGATACTCGGCACCAGTTGGTTTTAAATTAACATGTGGTCCTACAGGAAATACATTGCAAAGGGTACACGTGCATGTTCACTGGATGCCACTTATAAGTTGGATATGGTGGTGGCTGCAGAGGTGAGGTGGCTCAGTGGTAAAGAGTACTTACTGGCTGCTCTTTTAAAAGACCAAGTTGGATTTTCTGCACTCACGTGATGGCCACCCATGTATACCTCCAGGTACAGGGACCCAACCCCTCCTAGGTTCATGAACACTGCAAGTACTGGTACGCAGAAAAGAAGAAATCTCAGTAAACTAAGAAATAAGTCAAATCTTTTTTAAAAACAAGTTTGTGGGGAACCAGACGGGATTGCACACACCAGTTGCCTCAGCCTCTGGAAGGTTGTGTGTGGCAGTGAGAGTGTCTCTCTAAAAATTGGAGAAGACTGTGCTAAATGACATGTCTGATTCCCTCAGTCAAGATGCTAAGGAAGATAGACGTCAGAACTCAGAACTGGCTTAGGCTACAGAGCAAGACCTTGTCCATAAAAGGCACTAATTGGAAGCTGACTGGATTAGTAGGGCTGGGTGACATAGGATAGCAATTGCCTGGTAGAGAGCTGACCAGGAGGATATGATGCCTTCTAGGGTAATGGGGTTGTGTATTAGCGGGCCCTTGTACAAGTATGTGTTTACTAGTTTGGGTGTTGACCAGGCACTGCCATGCCTCACGCCTAGAATCCCAGCAAAGCTAAGGGTGTAGACGTCTAGGTCAGCCTTGTCTAAAGACAAAAATTTGTCTTTTAAAATTATTTTCTGTGCGTCTGTGACAGCCAGAGTTGTCTGATACCCCCAAATAGAGTTACAGATACCCAATATGGGTGCTAGGAGCTGAACTTGGTTATACCACTGAGTCATGTATCTTCTCCAACCCCATAGATGATACCTTAATTTTTCAAGTGGGGTCCAGGGTAGTGGCACTTGCTTATAATCCCAGCATTGAGAGGATGAGGCAGGAGGATTGCAGATTTGAGGCCAGCGTGGGCTGCACAATGAGACCAGCCAGGGAACAGTCTGGAGAAGGGTGGGGCACCTCCCTGATGTGTCAATGCTTGTGTTTAGAGAAGCTGCCCGAGAGTGCCGCAGAAAGAAGAAAGAGTACGTGAAATGCCTGGAGAACCGTGTGGCCGTTCTGGAAAATCAAAATAAAACTCTCATAGAAGAACTAAAAACTCTGAAGGATCTTTATTCTCATAAAAGTGTTTGATTCTTTAAAGAGAAAGTATTTTTTATGGACTTGCTTAAAAATTAGGTGGATTTATTTTTTAGTGGAGTTTTATAAATTCAAAGGTCAAAGAAGCTACTTTGTATTAGATTTTACAGTGCGAAGGTGACAGAGGGTGAGTGGGAATGTGGCCATGTGGAAGCTGCCGACACAGCTGGAAGCTGGGGGAAAGTGCTCAAGGGACGGACTTCGGCAGTTTTACAATCCAACCAAGAGTGGCCAACAGCGTTGGTAAAGCAGTCAATTCCCACTGTTTCTATTTCTTACTGTTGAGAGTGTGTGTGTGTGTGTGTGTGTGTGTGTGTGTGTGTGTGTGTGTGTGTGTGTGTGTGTTCCTGCCAATAAATTCTAAATTACAAATATAAAAGAAAGCATAATACATTACTAAGTATGTAAATTATGTGGTCTGATTGTTCCTTGTCATGTTGTCAGCTGTGTTAAATGAGTTGTAACAGTTGGTTTTGTTGGACTTGAGGGATTTTGAGAAGTTTTAAACAGGCGCAGGGCACACAATCTGAGTATGGTGATTTGTAACATTTTTATCAGAATGGAAAGAAAACTGTCCTGAAGATTTGACAGTTTAGTTTGTTTTTTGCTTCCAGAAGGTAAGGGCAGTTTCTCACAAGGATATAATAATTTGTTTGATTCTCTAACCTGTATGCAGTTGAAGAGCATTGCTTGTGCTTTAACAGAATGAAGTGTTTACAGAAGCCCTTAAGGTAACTTAAATAACCTGAAGATGCATACCAAAGCTTCCCAGAGGATTGATAATCATCTTCCTGTAGTTTGTCAGGTTCTAAAATAGTTATTGAGGCAATTTTACATTGAGACTATTTTGTAATGTAGCCAATGGTACCTTTATCAGAGAAGTGACTGCCGATATATTTTTATAGTGAATCTTTATAAATTCTAATGTTGAGTTTTTAATGATTATTTTAAATGTTTATATAGTTTAGTAAAAAAAATAATTTGTATCTCAAATTATCATTTTTATATTACGAGAAGAGTAAAGTTTTCAATTGGCTGATATCTGAATTGTACTTTTTCTATGAAGTTTATCTAAAGTTCAAGCTGTGGTCAGTACACCAGTGTTTAACCTCTGTATTCTAACCTGTATACACTTTGAAACTGTACTGCAAAACTGTTGTGTGCCTATATAGTATGTTTCATATTGTCTATGAAATTAAAGAATATTTGATAAGATTAAGTTTGCCGAATACAAACTACACTGTGTGACGTGTGAACGCCGAGCCCTAACAGCCACTGAACTGACACCAAAGTGGACCTCTAGCCTAAGGTCTAGTAGCTTCACAGCCATCAGGGACTTCTTGTGCTTTGATTCAGTCAGAACCGGTTACAAGAGTCTCAGGAAAGCTGTCTGTAGGTACCTGGGACCTGACACTAGTGCACAGCCATTTACCATTGATCCTGCCATAGAGATTGTTCACTGATGTACTTTCTGCTTTTGCACAAAACTGGTCTCAAAGTGGTGATGCATCAGCCTGAAGAACATGGGGTCACACAGCCACTGCATTTGTCAGGGCATTGTAGCAGGGAGTACTGTCTGTTCTTAGACGGGCTGGTGGAAATAATCCCAATCTGCAGCTCCAGCTAAAGCACATCAGACTCTTTCTAGACATGCTAGGCCACACCCTGCCAGTGGGGTAGCTTCCCAGCCCAGTAAGTCATCTTGTGATGGCTTTAAAGCAAAGAATGAAGACTAGGTGTCCTTTGCTCACTGGAGTTATCAGTTGTGATGACAGGTGACAGTGCACAGTGGGCTCCATCTGAGAAAGGTTTGACGGAGAAGCAAGAGGTCATACTCTTCAAAAGCATATGCAACCTAATCAGTAATATTGAGGGTTTAGGGAGGGGGGTTGTTGTGGTTTTGGTTTTGGTTTTTTGTTTTGTTTTGTTTTGGTTGGTTGGGTTTTGGGTTTTTCCAAACAGGGTTTTTCTGTGTAGACTAAACTGTCCTGGAACTCGATCTGTAGGCCAGGTTGGCCAACCTCAAATTCACAGGAATTCACCTGCCTCTGCCTCTGCCTCCTGAGTGCTGGGATTAAAGGCATGCACCACCACTGCCCAGCCAAATCAGTAATACTGATTCGAGATTCCCTGTCTTTTTCCCTATAAAATGCAATAAAAGGCACCAGGAGGCTGTTCTAGATTGGTCCTGCCCCTAAATCTTAGGGACTGTCCTATAAATGAGGTTTAGGACACATGTACCCACTGTCCCCTTTTTCTCATGCTTGGAGGTGGATTGTGGTAACTGCATTAGAAATTAAATCTTTACTGCCATTTCATGATTGAGGTCTTTTCCTCTCAAATTGGTGGCATTCTATGTAGTCTTTTGCTGTCTTCAGTTTATACCTTACATAACGTGTCAATAAATTATTCTAAGTCAAGGTGACTTTACATACATGTGTACTCAAGTATATTCTGTGCACATGTATGCCATTCCGCTAGTGAGGTCATGGTAGGCCTTTTATTCTCCATTGCACATAAGACGTAAGTCACCTTCCCACTCCTGTGGAACTCATGCCCTTAATATTACTGCTTGCTAAGGTTACATCAGCAGAAATACTGGGATCAAACTTTAACCTCTGTAGTGCCAGATGTGGTGCTCACCTGTAATCTACTGAAACCAAAGGACTGAAGCAGGAGTATTTGAGGCCAAGTATGGTGGCACACTCCTTTAATCCCAGCCCTTGGGAGGCAGAGTCAGGGTATCTCTGAGTTCAAGGCCAGCTCGGTCTATAGGATGAATTTTAGGGCAGAGACCCTGTCTGGGGGAAAAAATTTTGACACCGCCTGTTGCTTTAAAGCCATGTCTCAAACAAAAACCAGCATAACCACTCAGGAAACAATAACCCATGAATTCCATCTCAGACCCGAAGGAGAAAACTGAGTCCCAAAACTTGTCCATTGGCCACCTGGGTGATGTGGCATGCACCAGTATTCACACATCTTACACACAGATAGATAGTAGTAGTACATTTAAAAAAAAAGAAAAAGTCCCTTCACTAAATTCCAGGGCGACACAGCCTTGTAGCTCCATCATGAGAACCCCTCAGTATTGATGAGGGTCTCAGTTTAAATTCATGTAGACATAAGTTGTAATATTCTGCTCAAAATCATACAATAAATAACAAAACTAATGTTATATTCTAGGTCTAGTCAACCCTAAAACATGTGGTCTTGGTTAAAAGAATGTGTCCCTTCGCACCAATGGCTTTGAGGCAGAAAGGGTAAGCTCCTTAGCTTAAAGATATACTGAAAGGACTTTGGGAGCACATCCCCCATGGAGGGATACTCCCTTAGCCTAGAGGCAGGAGGGAGGGCCCCACTCCAAATGACTTGACAGATTTTGATGAGCCCTCCTGGAAGGCATCACCCTGTGGAGTGTGGGGGGGTGAGATGGGAGGGAGGGAAAGGGAATTGGGATCAATATGTGAAATAAAAAATATGTACATATATACATAAATGTGTATATATAAAACCTACTTAAATGTGTCCACTAGATGGCAGCCCTCCTTTAAACTCACAGTTCTACAAACTTAAATACAAGTTTGTAGGAAACTGTATGGCCTAGGGCCAGCGACATGTCTCAGTGGATGAAGGCACTTGCTGCCAAGCCTGACAGCCTGAGTGAGCTGGACCCACACAGTGGAAGGAGGAAATGGACTTCCAAAAGTTGTCTCCACACATGCACTGTGGTGTGCATGTACACAGGAGCACACATGAAAATCAAGATTTTGTGCAACATCCAGGACAAATGGTACTTCGTTATCTTGAGATGTGAAGGGAGAATGTACACATGAGTCACCCACCACAATCCCTTTCTTATTGCTGTCTTCTTCCCTACTGGAAAGCTTGATGAGTTTAGTGTGTCCACAAAGTGTTTGTATATTTACTACATAAATTCATAGATACAGCAGTAATCCCAGTACTCAGGCTGAGACATGAGCTCCAGGCCAGCCTGGACTCCACTGCAAGATTATGTCTGGAAAACACGATATTGAGATTGAAGCCAGATTGTGGTGGCTCACACCTTCAATCCCAGCACTTTGGAGGCAGAGACAGGCAGACCTCTGTGACTTTGAAGGCAGACTGGTCTACATAGCAAGTTCCAGGACCAACAGGACTATATAGAGATACCCTACCTAAAAGACCAAAAACAGTGAACCAGACCAAATAATAAAAGACTGTCAAGTTGGAGTGGGATGCAAAATCCTGCTATATGTTTATAAATGCTGAATCAAAAATGTAAAAGAATGTAAGAAAACAGCAAGACTGAAATGTAATATTCAAAAGCTAGTCAAATTCTAGCCTAGAAGGGGCTGGAGAGATGGCTCAGAGCTTAAGAGCTCTGGCTGCTCTTCCAGAGGTCCTGAGTTCAGTTCCCAGCATCTACAACCATCCATAATGAGAGCTGGTGCTCTCTTCTCTCATGTAGAGATAGATATACATGCAGGCAGAACACTATACATAATAAATCTTTTTTTTAAAAACTTTCTAGCCAGAAGAAAGTTGGGGTGGCTGTATTTATGTTGAAAAAAAAAATAGACTAAAAATCATTTTGGGGACAAGGAATGTCACTATAAAATGATAAAAATGTTCAATTCACCTAAACAGTGGCTCTCAACTTTCCTAATGCTGCCATCCTTTTATATTACAGTTCATGTGGTCACCCTCAGCCACAAAAGTTTGTTACTACTTCATAACTGCAGTTTTGCTACTATTACGAATCATGAGTTTATCTGTGTTTTCCGATAGTCTTAGAGGACCCCTCTCAAAGAGGTCACCACCCACAGGTTGAAAACTGCTGATCTAAATAAGCTTTTTTTTTTTTTTTGATCTTCCTGCCTCTTCGAGGACAGTGCCACCATGCCCAGCTCACTTTTAAACTTGAATCTAATACACGGGAAGATGTTAAATTGAAGAAATATAAGAAACAAGGAAAACTTCTAGTTACAAAAGCAGGAGATTTGAACAATTAACAACCTAACATACTGCATTTCCACTGTAAGCCATTGCTAATAGGATGCCTGTCCTGCTTGACAGCCTAGAGTGACCTGAAGGAGATCACAGTCCATCGTGGGCCGCGCCACTCCCTGGGAGGTAGTCCTGGACCAATAAGGAAGCTAGCTGAGCCTAGGTCTGCAAGGGAGCTGGGAGCAAGCAGCATGTTTCCATGGCTTCTGCAGTGCTGAGAGGTAATGTAGACCAGCTAGCAGGCCTGCCTTTGACTTCCTGTCCAGATGCCTCCATGACGGGCCATGAACTAGTGAGATGAAATGAACCCATCACAGCAACAGAATGAAACTAGTCAACTACATCCGAGAAAGAAAACTCAGTGTGAAGTTAGCACGCCAGGCAAACAGGATGTGTGCCAACCTCAGACACCCAACTGAAAAGGCACTTTTTTATTGCAGTCCAAAGATAGACCACACATGGGGCAGTAAAATCAGACTCAATTTATCAGTGAATAACCGGGTGCACGCCTTCAATCCCAGCACTAGGGAGGCAGAGGCAGTCAGATATCTGAGTTCTAGGACAGCTAGGACTGTTGCACAGAAAAACTGTCTCAACAAAACAATAACAAAAATATTGGCAAGATTGAAAAGACTGTTTCTTTGGTCTGTGAGTCTTTCGTCAGAACTATAGTCTTGGCTGCTCACAGCTTTAGAAGACGTTAACAACAAACACAGTTCCAGGACAGGTTTAGAAAGTGCTTTTTGGTAGGAAGCACAGATGGACTGAGGCCTGGTCTCTGCCTCCTTTGCTGCAGATCAGCCCCTGCCCAGCCCTGCCTGAGGCATGCTATTCACTCAGGGTTCTCTAAAGACAGGCTGGACCCGGACCTGTCTTCCCCGGACACCCTTCAGGGACAACATCATGAAGATGATAACCAACCAAGGTATCTTCTGTCCCGTCCCACACCCCTAAAAAGGCACCTGAAAGCCTCCAGCCATTTCCCTGAACCCTTAGTCACCCAAAGTCTAGAACAGTGAACTCTAATAAGACACATCACCCCATGATGAAATCACTCACTAAATGAGAGCAGTGACCCCATGAGAAATTGGAGCCTGTCTTCAAGAAGAGTAGTCACATGGGAACCAGCAGTGTACTGACCCTCCAGAGTCAGCCAGCTTGTAATTACCTCCCAACCCCAAGTGTGCTGAGATTTCAGCTGGGAT